GTCTCCCTCTGTACAGGGGAGCTGGGTTAAGGAAAGTGCACTTGGGAACTGATGCTAGTCTGTGGCCACTCAGGGCTGCCTGTCCTTGTTCCCATCCTAGCGCCCCCACACTACAACTTTGTGAATCCAGGATAATCACCTCCTCATGGGAGCAGACGTAGCTGGACTGGCCATCAGGAGCACAAGTTACTCATGGGGACAGAAACCTGGCCTTCAGACTATACAAACCCACCCTCTCAGGCAGATGTTCTGCCTTAAATTTCAGAGTGATACTACTGGTTTTTGTTTGTTTAGTTTTGACCACTTGAACAGTTTCAGAGAATCTTGAGGCCTTCCCATTTAGGGCCCAGATTCTTACCCCAGAGTCTTGTCTTTCTAGACCTTAGACCAGTGGTCGGCAAACTACGCGATCCACATGCGGCTCTTTGGCCCCTTGAGTGTGGCTCTTCCACAAAATACCATGTGCGGGCGTGCACGTACAGTGTGATTGAAACTTTGTGGCCCATGCACAGAAGTTCGTTTTTGACTCTCAAAAGAAATTTAGATCATTGTACTGTTGACATTTATCTCCGTTGACTAATGAGTTTGCTGACCACTGCCTTAGACTATGGAATCACATCCAGTCTTATGTCCTCAGCACCACCAGACTCCTCCATCCCATCAAACCAGCCCACCTGCAGCGTGTCAGCCCCCCTCACCTGTTAATTGACTTCTTCATATAAGGAAGGGTGGCCACTGCCCCTCTGGCTTCTTCCCGGCTTCTAGCCATGTGCCCTCTGCAGAGCTATTGTTAAGAACAATGTAGAGACTGAGTGTTTGCACAGCTGATCAAGAGGGACGGCCTCATGGGGCTGGGGACTGTGGTTAGTCCTCCCGGGTCTGAGAGCAGTGTGCATTGCAAAGGGAGCTTTCTCTCCCCTCCTGGGTGTTTGCTTTAAAACTGGATTTGCAGGGTTTACTCTAGAGCTTTGCATGTTTGCAGGAAGCTGGGCAGTCGCAGGCTGCAATCTGCTTTGGTCTCATCTGACACAGGATAGATCTCAAGGTTGCCTCCAACCTCACTGTCCTCCTCTCTGTCCCAGAGATAAGCTAGGCAGCTCATTGGATGTGTCCTACATGCAACCCAGCCGGGGTGGTTTCCCTGTGCAGAGTGCTGGTGGCAGGGAGGCAGGCTGCTGTAGGGAGAAGGCTATGGGCTTGGAGTCAGAGCACCGATTACTGCGTGACCTGGGGCAAGTCCGTGGGCCGCTCAGCCCTTAGTTTCCCAACCTGTAGAGCGGAGATGACAGCGGCTACTCCTCAGGGTGATTGGAATAAGGCAGTGACCTCACGTGGTAAAAATGCCTAAAGCAAGCAGTGAATGTGCTGGCTGTTTTCCCAGTGGAGGAGAATTCTAGAAGGAAGCTCGTTCACCTAAAATGCAAGTTGATTCCTCTCTTTCTGAAGACAAAGAACTCACCTGCACGTTTCCATTTCCAACCTGGCCACTTGGAAGCAGTGTGGCCGCAGGGAGTTAGGGACTCCCAGTGTGGCCGCAGGGAGTTAGGGACCCACCCGCAGGCCATGAGGGTTAGATGCATATGCTGAAGAGCACAGTGCCGGGCACCAGAGTCAAAGGCACAGATATGGGCTCCCACTCAGGGGGGTGCTGTCATAGCCCCAAAGGCCTGCCTGTGTCTCAACTCTGAGCATGTAATATCCAGACCCCTTCAGGAAAGGGGGTCTCACCATGCCCTCCCTTCCCCTGGCATGTGGCTGAGGACTCGGCCCACTAGCCTGTTCCCTGCTGCTTCCCAGGCAGGGACTCCTCAGTGAGGATCATCCTTGTCCAGCAGGCCCAGGAGAGGTCCTTGGGCCCTGCCTGTGGAAACCTCCCCTCTGGTGTCTCTTCCACCCCCACCTCACCCCCCGCTCCGAGGCCCTGGGAGCTTCCCTCTCACCCAGCCTGACCCCTGTGGGCTTTATGAGGCTCCCAGCAGGCCCGGTGGCCACAGGTGGCCCAGCTCTGGGGAGAAGCACAGCCTGGACACCTGGTATTCTTGGCTGAGTTCCAGGTCCAAGGGAGCAGGGCGGGGGTGGGGGGGTGAACATGACCATTGTTTGGAGACAAAAGGGCCCGGGAGCCTGCTTCCTCCTTCATTCAGCGCATCTGCTCTGTGCCAGGGGTGGAGAGGTGACTAAGACAGGGTCACGATGTCAGGGAATGCAAACCAGAGAGGAGAGAGGCCGGCTCGGAGCAGGGCGAGAAAGGCTCCAACAGCCAGGCAGAGGCCATCCTATTCCGAGCCGGGAGTAATGGGATTGCTTTAGGAATGTCTCCTTGTGGAAATCTAGTCATCGTCCGCAGCCTCTGGTGATGGAGCTTGCAGCAGTAATTACATCCCCGTTAGAATCTGCTGAGAAAAGCCAGCCGCTCGTCCTTGGTGAGATCGTTGTTCTTAGCGTGCAGAGCCCAGTGAGGGCCGTCTACAGAGGAGAAAGGTCCCCGAACACGGACCTGTGAAGCTGCACAGACAGTGATGCTTTGGACTCACTAACTTGGCAGATGCCTAGTGTTCTTGGAGGCTCAGTGCCACAGGAGGCACAGCGCTGTCACCGAGTGAGAAGTGAATGTAACTGGGAGGAAGGGGCCTTCCTGGTCAGGTCTGGTCTTCACCCTGACGTCCCCTGGCCAGGGGACTGTACAATGCCCTGTGCTGTTAGAACCCCTGAGCAGGCTGTGTTGGGACAACACCCCCAGCTACCGCACAGCCCTCCGCATGCTTCCTTAATTGCTCCCTAAGTCAGCATTACACGGGAGCTCAGCGATACAAAGTGCTTATTAGCTAAGTGGTTAATAAGGCCTCATTAGGGACTTGTAGCAAAGCCCCAGAAAGCACAGTCTCAGTCTCTGCTGACTCGGAGGCCATGGCTGCCCGTGGGTATCCCGGCCTCACCATGGTGATGTTCTGGAGAAGCACACAGAGCTGGCCCCCAAGCTGGGCCAGGGGAGATGGCCACGCCAGGGCAGTGTGGATGGACAGGGGGGTAACTCTGGCCTTCCCTCTTTATTCTGATATAAAACCAGAAAGTTCTTCCTATGCTGCAGACCCTCTCTGGGGGCCCGGGGTGGGGCCTGGCAGGGGATGGAGCTGCCCTCAGCCAGTGCACCTGAGCATTTCTGGAAAGCAGGAGCCAAGAGTCTTGGCATTTGTGACGATTGCAGAGTGTGTGCTTGAAAGCAGAACCCTAATCTCTCCCAGGCTGGGCCAGCAGGGAGGGGGCGGTGACGGCCCGGCAGCTGCTGCTCCTGAGAGGGGCAGGCGTTGTAGAGTGGAGGGGCCAGTCGCCGCAGCCACGTTCTCCACAATCCCCCACCTACCCACCCCCAACCACAAACATGCTCTGGAGCGGCAGGTCTAACATTGCTGTTAGGTTGGGGTACCCTCAGTGAGAAGGAGGGTGAGTGTCCCTCTCCCAGCCGGTTCAGCAGCCCCTTCCGAACGTACATGTGGACATTTATTTGCTAAGTGACCTTAGATAGACCCTTCCTCTCTCTGGACTCTGTCACCCCATCTGTGCACTGAGTATTGACTCCTGAAGGCCCTGAACCCCCAGTGGGTGCAGTTCTATGAGTCACCAGGCTCCCCGAGGGTCAAAGGGCTCCGTTCTGTCCTTCGCTCCATTGGTAGTGCCTGTGCCGTCTCTAGGCTGGGTCTACCTGTCGCAGGTCACCGGGTGCTGTTTGCATGTGGGTGTGGAGCCCTGTCTCACATCCAGCCCTTCCCTGCTTTCCTTCTCAGTGCTAACTGGCCTTGCCTTGTCTCCTTCTCCTCTTCCTCTGCTCTCGGATAGCTGACGGTAGGGAAAGTGTCCAGCGGAATAGGGGCTGCAGCCGAAGTCCTGGTCAATCTGTACATGAATGATCACAGGCCTAAGGCCCAGGCCACCTCTCCAGACCTGGTAAGAACGCACCCCCAAAGTCCCCCGCAGACTCTGGCCCTGGCCTCCCGGGGAGGGCACCCAGGACCCAGAGAGGAAGCCTGGCCTTCTCCAAGGTGTCCCTTCTCGTGGTCAGAGGGGGTGGGAATGGCCAGATCAGAGCAGAGGAAGAGGGAGGCTGCATATCCTTGAAGACAAACCACCCGGCCCCCTTGGGGGTTCTTTCCCAAGGCCAAGCACCTTCGCTGCTGCCGGGAGCTCAACGAAAGGCCCAACGAGGCCTTCATGTGGCCAGGCATCCCTTCCTGTCCATGTTTAGTGTCCAAGGAGCCCTTTGCATTAGGTTGAGAATTCAGTGGTGGAAAAACATTCCTTTTTTGTTTCTTAATTCTCCCTTTCTCAGACTGATGGCCACTTCCTGCCATCCCCAGAGATTTGAGCTGACAATCCCTTTGGCTTCCTTTGGGCACATTCCCTAGAATCACTCAGGGTCACCCCTGTGCTCCCCTCCCCCTCCTTCTTTTATTTAGGAGTTCGACTGGAGCCTGGTGGGGTGGGGGGCATAGCCTCTCCCTTTCTGCAGTTCTCTTGAACAGTTTTTTTATTTTTTTCTTGAACAGTTTTGATGCCACAATTTTCCCTGCCTGACTGAAGTCGCTGCAGGGGACAGAAGATGTAGAAAACATTCTTTTAATGACCTCACTCTATACCCGACAACACTTACCCCTGGGACAGGCAGCTGGAGAGGGTGTCACTGGGCAGGCATATCTGTGAGAAATGCCCACACCTAGCCCAGGAGTTATCACCCCCTCCTGAAACCAGGGCAGCCTGGCTGGGGGACAGGCCCCCTCCTCCGGGCCTGCCTGTGGCCGGCTGGCCTGATATACAATGAACAGCAGCCCCTGCAGTTTTGGGGGCTCTGTGGGGCTCATTTCTTCCCACTCTTTGCTGCAGCGTCTGCAGTGACGTGAGCAGAGCCAGGACATCCCCAGGACCAGGCTGGAATGTCTAACAGCCGGGGCCTCTTGTTCCAAAGCTCCTAACACCTTGCTCTTTCTCTGGTGCCCTGTGCTCCCCAGGAGACGACTCGAAAGGCCTTTCCCCTGAACCTGGGCGGCAGCGACACCTGCTACTTCTGCAAGAAGCGCGTGTACGTGATGGAGAGGCTGAGCGCCGAGGGCCACTTCTTCCACCGGGAGTGTTTCCGCTGCAGCGTCTGCGCCACCACCCTGCGCCTGGCCGCCTACGCCTTCGACTGCGAGGAAGGTGAGTGCCTTCCCTCAGGGACAGCCCTGTGGGCTCCTGTCCCTCTGGAGGCTCTGGGACACCCAGCAACTCCCAGGGAGCTCAATGTCATGGGGAAAGCTTTCCAGGGAGTCAGGGTCCTCTGGACAGAGAAGCCACCGGCAGGGGGCAGGGAGCGAGGGCAGGGGGCAGGAGGCAGGGGGCGGGGGCTCCGGGGGAGAGGCAGCGCCCACACCTGGTGGGTGCTGGCCCTGAGGGCACCTGCCGCGTGCCGCCAGTTCCGTGTATGTTTTCTCGTTCAGTCTCACTGCCTTCCATCTCCCCAAGGCTGTGGAGACACATGCTCAGCAGCACACCGCTCGTGTTATACGGGTCCAATAGATGGCGGCATGTGGATGGGAGTAGTATTGGTAATGTGGACATTCGAAAAATAACCACCCATAGTAGCATCCGTTCTGACGAGGAGCTGATCAGAGGTCACGGGAGAAGGAATTGCACTCATTTGGACGAGGGGTCGTTTTCTAATTTTCAGCCTTGGGCATTTGCACTGTCAGATAAGATGACATTGCTCGTGACTTCAGACCTTCAAAGGCAAGTGCCAGGTTCAAATCTAGGCTGTGGCACTTCCTAGCCCCGTCACCTTGGGCCTATTCTCTGACCTCCTGGTCCCTCAGTTTTCTCATCTGTAAAATGAGGATACTAGGAGTACCTAGCGCCTGAAGTTGTTGTAAGGGTGGGTGAGTTCATCCTCTGGGAGCTTTTAGAAGAGTGCCTCTATACTGTGAGTCCCACAGAAGCGCTCCCTACCCTTACCATTATCCCCATCGCGGTTGCCACTGACATAACAGTGAGCAAAGAAGGCTTTTCTGGAAAGCATGCCAGGATCCTGGGCAGTGGCCGGAGTCCCAGTGTGTGTCCCACCCGGGCTTTCCCTTCCCATCTCGTTGCCATCTGTGCCAGGCCTTCCCCACCCCAGGGTCCCAGAAAGGAGGAGGGGGAGCTAGAAATAGTGCTGCTGTCCCTTTCGCTGCCTCACAACTGGTCCTGGGAAGAGACCTGGCCTTCGTTTGGTTTGGGGATTCGCTGAGGGGTTCAACCCCATCCCTCTGAGGCAGCAAAGGGTCCTGGGCCTTGAATCAGTGCCCCTTTAAGACCAGAGACAGAGCCCCTTCCCAAGAGGGAGCTGCCTGGGGTTTGTTCCCGTGACTGGCACTGTCTGACCTGGACAGGGGCGGGCACTTGGCTCAGGTTTCCTATGGGTTTGGCTTACAGGGGAAAACACACACAAAAAAACCACCTGTGTGTGCGCGTTTCTTTTTACAGGCAAGTTTTTCTGCAAGCCTCATTTCATTCACTGTAAAACCAATACTCAGCAACGGAAGAGACGGGCAGATCTGAAGCAACAAAGAGAGGTACGTTTTGCCTTGGGACAGGGAAGGGCGCTGGGCAGGAGGAGGTTTTCAAGGGTTCCTCCACTCTGGGCCAACATCTCTGGCCCTAGAAGGACCGAGACTCGTAGATGAGGAAGAGGGCTCTCCTCCCTGCTGTGATGGTGCCTTTGCCTCAGTTGGTTCAGAAGACCTCCAAGGTGTATCCCTCTGTCCTCCTCCCCCACGCCCCCCCCCACACACCCTATCCCCCTGTGCCAACTCCCAGGTACATGGCTGTGCTGGCCTCTCAGGAGAAGCCCAGAGAGCTTTCCCATGTGCCAGGGATGGGCTATTGGCTCAATCATGCAAAACTTACCAGTTGCCTCCCCATGGTTGCTGGGCCCTGTCTTCTCCATGCCTCTCTCCAGCCACCCTTCCCCTCTGCCCCCCACCAGGAACACAGGGCACTGTTTGTAGGGATGGGGCCAACCTTTGCTGAGGTTTCCAAGTCCTTTCTCAAGGCCAGTGGTTGGCAAACTCATTAGTCAACAGAGCCAAATATCAACAGTACAACAATTGAAATTTCTTTTGAGAGCCAAATTTTTTAAACTTAAATGTCTTCTAACACTACTTTTTAAAAATAGACTAGCTCAGGCCATGGCATTTTGTAGAAGAGCCACACTCAAGGGGCCAAAGAGATGCATGTGGCTCGTGAGCCACAGTTTTCAGACCACGGCTCTAGGCCCTTGGAAATCAGCAACGTGATGAGGGACAGGCTTGTTATAGTGCCCCCTCTGGCAGCTCTTAGCAAATACCTCCATGGCTTGCCAGCCCAGAGCCACCACTGACAGTTTTTCCCCCCCCAATGACGCGTTAATCTAGGCTCAATGCAGAAAAAATGGATAAGTTAATTAGATACATAAAGAAAGTTAAAGCACCCACTGCCACTCTATCCTGAGAAAACCATGATTGTGACAGGTGCTTCCTTCCAGACTTCTTCCTCTGTGCAAGAATTGTAATTGGTCAGAATCCTACCGCTACAGTTTCCCATGACATTACAACTCCTTTAAGAGCATAGAATTGGGTGCCTATAAGACATGGTCAATAATTTATTTAGTGACTCCCATATTGTTGAATGTTCATGTTGTTTAACACATTTATCTTATAAGAATGTTTATAGTGAACATCTTTGCACATGCATACTTATCCATATTTCAAATTATTCACTTAAGACAGATCATTAGAAATGTGATTGGAGTCAAAGGACGTGTGTTGTAAAGGATTATGAGCCCCGTGATCAATCTGTCCCCCAGGAAAGATGTGCCCATGGTCAGCCCCCCTCGGCAGTGCATGGGCATGAGATTATTTGAGGCTGGTTCTGCCAAGTTCTATTGTAGATATTGTATACATAAGTCTATATAACCACTTGTCTCATAGAGAGAGAGCACACCAGAATAGGTTAGACTTTGTTGCTATAGTAAGCTCAAATGTTTTAAAATGTATTTTTATTGATTTCAGAGAGGCAGGGAGAGGGAGAGAGAGACAGAAACATCAATGAGAGAGAATCATTGATCAGCTGCCTCCTGCACGCCCCACAATGGAGATCGGAGATCGAGTCTGCTACCCAGGCATGTGCCCTTGGCCGGAATCCAACCGTGACCTCCTGGTTCATAGGTCAAAGCTCAAGTTCTATTTTTATTGGCTCTCTCTGTCTGCTTTGCCAGAGGGTTCCTGTGTGAGAAGCATGAACTCACTGCCTCTCTTTGATGGTTCTCAGGAGGCGGGAATGTGGCCGGAGCACGAAGCCCCTCGGCAAGAACCTCCCACGGAAAGCTCTTGTGCAGCCGCTGCCCTGGGCCCCCCAACGGGCAGCCCCCCAGGTATCACCACCTCCTCTTTTAGGAAGGCGCTAAGCTGGCCTCTCAGGCTGCCCTGGGGCCTGCTCCACCTCCCCCGGAGCCTGCTTAACTGGATCCGGGGACTCCTGCGTGCCCTCGGCCTGCATTTCAGGGACAATGCTTACAACTACTGCTTCACGTATGAGCTCCTGAGCCTCGGGCTGCCCCTCCTGTGGGTGCTCTCCGAGGTCCTGGCTTCCATGTACCGGGAGTCCGAGGAGTCCCTCGAGAGCATCCGCGACTGGGTACTCAGGCACTTCCCCGGCAAGCTCTATTGATGGGTGCTGCCCCAAGGGCAGATGGCCACGTGTTTGCGAAAGCCAAAGAACTGGCCGTCCGCGCCGGCCTTGTCAGGGTGCTGGGGCCAGCGCGACATGAAGGATTTTTTACAGATCTGCATTTCTTTTATACCAAAGCGAACTGTATTTCTAGGTTTACATTTCAATATTTAATTTTTAATAATCCAAGAACAAGCATTTTTTTTTTTACAATGCGTGTTGAAATTTCGAAGCACGGGTTAGAAGTTTATAACTGGTAGGACAAACCCCTTCCACACCCGTCAGTTGCAGTAATAGTCACTGCCTGCCATGTTACAGGTTTGGGCTTTATGTCAGCAAAAGTGAGCGTGCCATCTCCTGACCAGGGCCTCTCGATTTATGTACCCGGATGCCACTTGTCAAGGGGAGAGGGGGGCAATTTTTTTGCAACATGGAAGCATACTCATGTTAGAAGAGAAGAGTAGGAGAATCGTGTAGAATTAAGCGTGCAAAGCGCATGGCAGTGTGTAGCTGGCTGTTCTGTGTCCTCCTTCTGAGACTGTTTTGCTCCCTTGTTTTGATGTAAAATAGCAGCTTAAAGTTTCCCCCACCTCCCATCCCAAATTACAACCAAATAGCAGCTTAAAATTTCCCCCACCTCCCATCCCAAATTACAACCAAATCTGGGGTTTAGCGCAGATTGCTACAAACAAGCATTTTCCCTGCCCATCATCGAGCACTGCAGAAAAGCCCATTGGCACCTGACCCTGCCGAGCCACATCGGGTCAGCAGGTGGCCTGGACCCAAAGCCTCCACCCCTGGGGCTCCCTATCAGGCCCCCAGCCCAGGCTGCCTTCTGAGCCAAGGCCCTCAGGGTCCTTCATGGTCAGGCTGAAGGAGGAATCTGCCCTCTCCATCCTGTCCTTTGGGACTGAGGGCATCTGTTAGCACCTGAAGGTAATATTTCTGGGAAGTGAGCACTGCTTGCAGACATGCTGGCTGCTTAGCCACTCGAGCTGGCAACCCGGGCATGTGCATATTTGGTCAAAGCAGTCCAAAACCATTTTTTTTCCACGCTGTCCTAGGAAAGGAATGCATAAGATCTCCAGAGAGAAGGTCCCCCGTGTCTTGATTGGCAGGGAAGGCTGGGAGTGGAAGCTGTGCATTGACTTATGCAAAGAAATATGTCCTATTAGGGGCAAAACCAAGCATTGGCCTACCTGCATTCTTCCCTCTGGGCGTCCGGAGGAGGCCTAAGCTGCCCGCTCCATGCTGCCTGGACATGCACAGCTGCTGAGTCCGGTGGGATAAGGGAGAGGCTGACAGAAAAAGACCCCTGTCCTGGCTGGTGTAGCTAGAGTTGCCAAGCCGGACACACCTCCACGCATTGTCCCCCTAGAGATCTATCTCCTCGAGGCCATGTGGGGATGGAACCAGGTGAGGGTTTGGAGCCAGAGCTCCTGAGGGCTTGGAGATGGCCCGTTTCTACAGGGTGAGAAGGGGGAAGGCATTTCTACAAACACTTCCCTGAAGTCCTCGGGGAGATCAGGTGATGGCTGAGGCCACGCCCGTGGGGCCTGTTCTCAGTACGATGACTTGCATTGTGTTTTCCCAACGCTGTGCTGGGATTATCACGTTCAGCGTGGCGGGAGGAGCCCTCGAGTCACTGTATGTTTGATTCCAGAAGGTAGGCTCTCTGGGTCCCGCACGTGAGAACACACGCTCAGCGGTGTCACTGTCCCCGTCAGCACAGGGCAGGCCGAGGAGCCCTGTGCGGGCTCCGGGAGCCACAGTTAGATTCACCGAGAAGGTCACGGGTGGCCCTAAAGGGACATGTTTGCATTCCTCTGGTGAGACAGGGTGTGTCTGTCCGTCTGTATGTTCTGCGACTTTGAACCTTCCTGGTGGGCAGCACCGAACACACAATGGATCCCAGGCTGAGGGGTGGGGGTGGGGGTGGGGGTCTCTAAGCCTCCACAATGGGTTCAAGAGCGACTATAAGACACTGGACACTGGAGTAAAACCGGGGCCAAGAGGACATGGGGGCCGTGGGTGCAGATGCAAACCACACGGGCCCACTGCTGCAGGGATGGGCTGTGCACCACCAGGAAGGTTCCCCTGTCCGGAGCAAGCCGTGAGCGTGTGGGGGAGTGTCCCCATTGTAAACAATTGCCTTGTTTCCCTTGATTCCCACGTCTCCTCTCGTTGTCGGTCATTTTCCTTTCCCGCTCCTCCCCCACCCCCCCAAAAAAACTAAACTCTCGTTTCTGTCTCTCTCTTTCCAACCTTGCACTGTGGCCGTCAGTTCCTTTCAGCCTTCCAGTGCTGCACCCACTTCTTGGCTGACACACTTCTGCTATCTGAGGTGACTGGTTTCCTTGCGGATTTTCAGAGAGTGGGGCTGACTAACTCCTACGCCGCTTTCTGCACCGTCCTCCCGCCGCGGCCTTGGTTGTGCTCACTGCAAGCGTCTTGCGTACTAACGACTCCTTGGGTGGCATGGTGGGCGAACAGCGTGGGGCAGTGTTCAGCGCCAAAGCTGTTTCCGACTCCACTGACCTGGGAGCCGGCAGCCCGGCCCCGCCAGGTGCATGCCCACCTGCCCCTCTGTGGCTTGCGCGCATGCTTTGCCAGTTGCACTGACCAAGCCAAACCAAACTGCTGACTTTCCTGGGAGGGTTAGCTCTGACGGGAGACAGTGCCATAGTGGGGGGGGGGGCTCAGTCACCTGTGAAAAGAACACCTCTGCCTAAGAGCCTCTGAAAAAGCTCGTGCATACCAGCTTCAACTGGTTCTGATCTGGAGATCATCGATGTCCTTGATCAAAACCAGAGGCCACCCTTTTCGGAGGGATGAAAGCAGTACGCCCAGCTTCCTCATCCCCTCCATCCACACTCTGCCCTTGTCCACACGCTGCAGTTTTCCTAGCACGCCCCTTCCCTGCTACAGCCTGCCCCATGGACGCTAAGTGTTGCCGTGGTGGCTCTCTCTTACCTCTTGTGGCTCACAAAGCCGCCGAGGAGGCAGAAGCTGTCCGAGAGCCATGGCGACCCAGGCCAGAGATAGCCTTGAGAAAGGACTCAGTCCACCCCAGGCCTGCAGCGGCCAGGTTCTGTGCACACCCCGCCCCAACCCTCAGGCCTGCTCAAAGCTGCTCTCTCTGCTGACTCGTTCCCTGGAGCAGCAGGACAGTCCAAGTGCCAGGCACTGCAGGCCAGGGCCTCAGGTTTCAGGCTGCATGCAGCATCTGCCCCGCACATGGCCCCGACACGCTGACCCCAGGCCTGGCTGCCCCGCCCTGCATGCTGCATCCCTCACTGCCCCCGTGCAGATCCCAGTCATTGCTCTCTCTCATCTTCTCTTGCAGAGTCTCCCTCCCTTTATAGAGTGTCAACCAAAGACTGCCCTCCCCTCCCCCAGCCCCCTCGTCAGCTAGCCTCCCTCCCCCCCTGCCCCCAGCGCATGTTTGTGACCCTCCGAGGTCACGTCCAGTGCCACACCGAACCCTGTATTTTGCACACAGCGAACGATGTTTAGCTTTATTTATGGTATATGATGCTGTAAATGGAAATAAATGTGGTTCTTTATAAAGCTCCTCGTTTCCTCTCTTCTTTGCCATGGAAGCTGCTCAGACCTGGAACACGGGCATTCGTTGAGGGGGCCAGTCTTCCCTAACCTGCCGGTGGGGACTTGCACACGTGGTGCCGAGGGGCTCTCTGGGGCTGTGCTGGGCACTCTGAACGTAAATATTACCCGGGGGTAATATTTGGAAAAGGTCACCCATGCTCCTGGGCCCCGCTTTGGGATCTCCTTCTTGAAAGCTCATGGCACTTTTCTGCTCTAGATGCCGGACATAGCTGGTGAGGGTCAGTGTCACCTAAGCTGCTGGGGACAGACTGGCTTAGCAGCCTCGGGCACCCACTTCCCCAGACCTCCGAGCCTCAGTCAGACCTGATGTGCCCACGTGGGTTCCTGTGTAACGGAGGCTGCTCTCCGCCGTTGGGTGCCGATTCAGCTCAGTGATGGGCGAAAGGTCAGAAGGAAGGAGCAGGCGTTGGTTTGAGGATGGCGGTGAGCATGGCAGGTGTGCTCATCCTGACAAAGGGCAATCTATGATCCTAAGACACCTTCTGCCCCCAAGGCTCAAGGACTCCATGTCTCAGGCTGCCAGCTCCACTCACAGGGCCACTATGAGGTGCTGGTCTGACTCTAGGCTGTCCTTAAAGGAAGGGTTTCCTGCCTTCAGACGCCTGCTCCCCAGCCTCCCCAGGGTGGGAGGCCTGCCAGTTGCCAAGCTGTGGGCAGCTGAGCTTCTGACACTGGCGTGAAACTCATTTGTGAATCCACGGGCCCATGTGCCTCTCAAGGGGCATTTCTGGGGCCCAGGGCCTCTCGCCCAGCGGCAGATGCCTGAAGCTGCCTGGGGTCGTGACCGCGGTGAGATCCTCTTACCCAGGTGAGATCCTGTGCCCTTCCCACGAAAGAAAGGTGTTGGGGACTGAAGTCAGGGGCTGAGTCAGGCAAGTAACTCATTCTTTTAGTCATGTCTCTGTTTGAGTATTGTCTAGGCATACATAGGCTGGGTCCAGCAATGTGGCCGTGAGCCACACAGCCCCTGCCTCTGCCTGCACCTGGGAATGTGTGTGTTTGGGTCTGTGTACCGGACTTGATTTGTTTGGTTCATTTGTGCCTGCACCCACCTGTTTACTCCACTGACACCGAGCA